GTGCGACCTTGAGAGAGTGAAGCCACAACCTCCACCCTCCCTCCTGTTAGGGGTAGAACCTGTTCAGTCCTGTCTGAAAGTTGCTAGAGTGATGAGTGTATAGAATGTACCGCGGAGCATGGAACAACGTATTGTGATCAAATTCCTCGTTGGAGAAAACGTCCCATTCGCTGAAATTCACCACAGACTCCAACAACAGTATGGGGAAGAGTCTCTCATGGACCCGTGTGTTTGAGTGGTGTAAGTGCTTCAGAGAGGGCAGAGCGCGCGTGGAGAATGAACCGCATGATCGTCGGCCGCAAACATACGTCACCAAGCCAAACATTGATCGTGCAGACACACTTATTCATGAGAATAGGTGCATCACTATCAAGGAACTTGGAGCAATGCTGTCCATCGGTGTTGGTAGTGTAGAAGACATCATGAAATACCATCTGCACTATCGCAAGGTGAATGCACGGTGGGTACCACGCACTTTGACAGACGTGAACAAGATGGTGCGCATGCAAGTTGCAAGTCGTCTCCTACAGCAGTTTGAAGATGAAGGTGATGCATTTTTTAAGTCTATAGTGACCACCGATGAAACGTGGGTGCACTACTTCATTCCCAAGTCCCAGCAATCATCAAGCGAGTGGCGGCATACCAGTTCTACCAAACCCAAGAGAGCGCAGAGGAGTCGTTCGGCAGGAAAAGTGATGGCAACGTTCTTCAGGGACTGGCAGGGGGGTATCCATATAGACTTTCTGACAGATGCCAGAACAGTCAATGCAGCTTATTACTCAGACCTCCTGGCAACAGACGTGAAGGAAAAGACGATCCAAGCGGAAGAGAGGTGGAAAGTGGGTAGCCTTCCTTCAAGACAATGCACGCCCCCATACGGCCAAAACAACAATGGAAACCCTCCGGAAATTGAAATGGAACCTTCTGGCACATCTGCCGTACAGTCCTGATTTGGCATCAAGTGATTTCTACCTGTTCAGAAGGCTCAAATCAGACTTGCAAGGCATTCGGTTTGTGGACACGACGCTGTCATCTAGAATGTTCGGGAGTGGATACGCCGCCAACCACAAAACTTTTCTGAAAAAGGCATCAGGATGCTTCCAGAAAATTGGAAAAAATGTGTTGACTCCGGAGGGGAGTATGTTGAAGACTGACATGTGCAAGTAAGTGTTTGGCAATTTTGGTTAAAAAAAAAATCAGTCCCGGTCATATTTGAACCACCTTGTATTAACACATATATATTTTCTGATGTTAAGTACAAATTATTGAAAATATTTCTAAAATCCAGAAACCCATACAAGATGGCAAAGTGAAGGAAAATGAATATGTTTTATGAGAAGTCACTCATTTATTTCCAAGTCACCAACTAAAGGATTCAGCTGCTATGATGTCCTGGTGCCCAACATTTCTGCAGCCCTAGGTTAAATCTGATTAAATATAATGATTTTCTAGGGCTTGATCTGTAAGGGATAATATGTATACAAATTCTCAAACTCAAGATTGCCTCAAATATGGCTTTAAACTATAAAATTTTCACATATGTTTACAGTTACGTTTCAGTATGTCAGCATTTTTACCTTAAGTACTGAAAATCATTTATTTAAAATATGTATTGTGTATATACCAACCACTCTTTTCTTTCAGTTAGTACAAGCATTGACGAAGAATCAGTGCATACTGGAAGGATTGCCAAATGTCAAAAGCTGGTGCATTGTATATTTCTACCTTGAGAGTAAAACTGAGCAAACATGAATTTAGAGAAAAAGGGACTGGTATTAGTTATTCATTTCAGTAATTTCTATAAACTTTATTTGAAAAATTTTTCAATTCCATGAAAATTAAGCAAACTATTCTTTAAAATCGTTTTGCTCTTGAGATAGCTGACTGGTTAATATTATGTGAAAGTATAATTTTAAACGCTGAAAGTCTCCACAGTGCTTTCATATGTATATAAATTAAATTTTTAGTTTGAAATTGAAGTTTAATGTATACTGTAAGTGTAATTTATAAATACCTATTTAGGTTTTGATTCTGTTTATCACAAAATTCAGTAATTCAATTGAAGTCTTATTATACAATGAAAACTTGAAGTAAATATGAAGCAAAAATCCAAATTCTTCAATGTCAATGAGAACTGGTTTAATTTACATATGCATACATTTTAAAAAGGGTTGCCAACATTAAATTACATCAAAATCTGTTCATATAAGGCATATAGACAAGCATTAATAACAGAAAATTATTTTCTTTAAATTTTAAACTTATAATTTGAAATATAAACACTCCACACATCCACAGAATAAGCAAATATAAATATTAATATAGATAAAAGCTCTGACAGAATGACTAGTGTATCTGTCATGGTGTCATAACAGGGTTATGGACAAAAACATACACATCTACAGATATGATGAATGGTGATGGTGTCTCACCCTGCATTGAAGTCTCTGATCATTACTAAATGTGTGAAGCAACAGAATGGGGAAAGAAAATGTTAATGAAGAAGTTGATGCTTCTCTCTCTCTTGGTCAAGAGGCAAACAGTACAAAAATAAAAACAGTTACTATCTCTATTTCAAGCTGTTAGCCCATCACATGCACACTCTTACATACTTTCTGCTAAATGCCATGTAAGAGGATCCACAACTCAGCCAAGACATTAGTCATCTCTTTCAGATTTCATGCTATTCCTGAAGTTCACAACATTTCAGAACAATGCTTGGAACAGACTTGAGAAAAGTTGTTTATTCCTATCCTTCATCCAGTCTAAATTTTGAACAAGAGAATACTGCAATTGGATACTTAATTTCATTTTTTTTTTTGTTTTTTTTTATGTAAGAGCAGAGGATCCTCCTCCAACTGTGTACCTTCAGTTGATCAACAGTGATTTATGGATAATAGACAAAAATATTTTGACTTTACATTGAGATCATCTCTGCCAATTCTCTCAAGAGTTGTTCACAATACAGACAGAATTTATGTCAACAGGTTTCTAATTAGATTAAGATTCAGAAACAAACACATTAGAGAATGAAACTACATAAAATATGATGCTCCATGGTGAGAGCACTGCACACAAATCCAAGAAACTTGACCTTATACAGATTAACTTAGCCATATTCCCCATACTCTTTCTGCATATTTTCAATCGTACTTAACAAGTAACATCTTGCTGTCACAGAAAGTCTCTGAGCTTGTGGATTTATATTAACCAACAATTTTTTTAGTTAGACATCTGACAATTTGTAGTGGGTTAGCATTACAAACATGGATCCAAGCTATTTGAGACACTTAATTGTTCCCATTTTGACTGCTGAAGAGCACCACTTGTGTGAAAACATATTTTCAAAATAAATGGATCATCATGTTGATGCCAGCCAGTCTAACTGTTACATAATTTAATTCAATGTTCACTTTTATTTTCAGATTTTCTGAAATCAATAAATGACTTTCAGATTATATAAACAACTGTCTCAAGCTTTTTCAATATCATGGAAGGGTAGTGGAACCTCTTCACACATACACATGCCAGCCTTTCAGTCACACATAAACAAAAGATTTCTCAGTAGTGACAGTGAGACAAGTGGGCTTCAAAAGCCATAGTTAGTATATTCAGATTGGCCATTCCATTATGCTAGATAGGAGTAGTACCATTAATATGAGACATAGAGACACTCGCACACACAGATAACTGAAGAAAGGTGAGTAGCAGCAACAAGAGAAATGATGGCAATTCCCCCTGCGGCCTGCTGCTATGGGCACGCGGACAAAGAACACACACAGTTACAATCGCATTACAAAAAGCAGAAGTCATCCCTCAATGATATCAGTTACACTTGTTTCATAATAAATAAATTAAAAAAAAACTCTAAGATCGTCGCATTTCTTGTAATTTCTTTACCTCTTAACAAGTAAGATGACTTCATATGTGGCATCAATGTTTACTTTTCCAGTATTTAAAGGCATTAAACTATTATTTAAATAGGAAATCTGTTTTTTTTAAATGTCCCCCTTTCTAGCATCACACTAATCCATCTGAGTTATCTAGAAAGTTCAGTAAAATCTATAATTCAAAAGAGGGTTACAAATTAAAAATAAAATTAGTAATTTAAATCATGAGCCATTGAAAAAAAAAATTGAAATTATCAGTAGTGACTACCATAAAATTCCTATAACCCATATGTCATGAATGAAGATTTCAGTGTAATATGCAGTACTAATTTTGAAGAATATACAATGGAAGAAGAAAATTTCAACAGTTATAAATGGAAGTTTCAGCAAACCTACAATAAAAGTGCTAAATCTGAAAAAATTCATAACAGCACATCTGGGTTTATCCATCAGAAGAAAAAGCACAAACTTTTAAGTATTTGTACCTCTCTGCTATTATCATAAAAGCATTTATTTTACCCAAAAAAAACATGAAGTAAACTGTCTTTGAAACTGCCTTCCATAAAGCTGACCGTATGACAAGTATAATAATTTTTAACGGAAATTTCGCATCAATATGTCAGGACATAATTACAATTTCATTATTTCCATGGCTCATAATATCTTATATAGACAGTGATATGTCAATTCAATATTACTATTGCATTACACTATATATTTAGTTTTAATAATAATCAATGTCAATATTTTTTAGACTTATAGGTAATCTTTCTAATTTGGCAATTAAGCAATAAAAACTACAGCATCAGAATTCAATCATTTTAAGAAATAAAGCATGTCAAGCAACTGATACAACTGATGTTATTCAAATATGTTTCTGTTTTTAAAACGGTCTGAATTATGAAGATATGTATTTGTGTTCTCCATTCTCAAGAGATTCTAATTTTTAAGAATAATAATTACAATATACTGTGAGCAATATATTGCCTACAACAAACTAGTTATTGACACATCACTGATAAACAGACAATACATAAAGAATCAGAATAAAGAAACTGAACAAGAGAGATTTTAATATTGAAAATAAAATTTATAGTTGTATGAACTTACCAACCCAACAAGGAGGAAAAATACAAGGAACGTACGACCAAGGACAGTCTGGCAGTAGACATCACCATAGCCCACCGTGGACATGGTCACAATGAGGAAATACACACATGTCCAGTAGGATAACTGCTGAGGATTCTGGAATTCTAATGGATCTCCGGAATTCTCAAGCTAAAAGAAAAACATACATTTTGCTTCATATAAACTAAAAAGTGTGCAGTAAAATACTTCAGTGTTTTGAACAGGAAATTAGAGTTTTGAAAACTACATATGAAACTGAATGTTGCAGTATAGTTGTATACATCCCTGCTCTAGCTTGGGGAATCCAATTCAAATTTTTATTGGGGCATTTGGCTATCCTGATTAAGGTCTTTTGTGATAACTGCCTGACCATATAGGCAAACGACATTTAGTAACTTCAATTTAAAATGAGAAAATTGTGCTTCTCTTCAGATCCTTCCCAACTGACCATCTGTGAGCATTTTGTCATGATTTATTTGACACAACATTGCACAGAATAAGCAACAAGAAAACTGTAAGCAGGGTGATTCTTTTTGCTTGGAAACATTTTTCTGCCACAAAATGCTACTTCAATCATTCACCAAAATTCAGTAGTTTTTGTACTGAAACCTGTTTTTGAGAATATGTAATGAGAACAAAACAGTCTGGTCATAAATTATAACCGGTCAAACTCTCCAAATTTAACTAGTTACTGTAATAAGGGAAGAAAACATATGTTTTTGCCTGGAATAGAAGTGTCATTGTGTATGATTAAGTATGATGCTGTGTTCAGTCACTGACGATTTCTCTGACTGACAGAGGTGGATATGCCATTAGTGTCCCTTCACCCTCATCTGAATGACATGTTCAGTGCATCAATGTACATTTTCCCATGCTCGCAGAAGATGCTATATATGGCAAGTGTTTTAGGCCAAGGTAATTCCTGACAGGAAAAATGTAGCTGACGACTCCCCAGTGAGATGCCTGCTGTCTTGCACTGCAGCCCACTAATGCATTTGAATTTGGTATGGACAAAAGGCAGGAAGGCCACTAATGTGGGTTCTCTCTAGGTGGTCCAGCTTGATATTGAGGGAAACATACAGTATAATGGATCTGTCTTGTGCTGTGTTTTCACAAAAGGTTCTCTGGAGTAGGTCCAGTATGGAGACCCTCTTGGCTGCACATGGCTCTGACCCTGTGTGACAATATGAACAGCATTGTAGGCTTATCTGTTAAAGCAGGAACCTCCACATACAAACTAGAACATTGTACAACTAATGGCAATCCTACAAGTGGCTTTTATTTAAATAAGAAAAAGACCAAAAATCGATTTTCATCAGAACAAAATGTTTCAGTTTTGAGCAGTGTAACATAGTTGTGTATATCATAATATTAAAATTTCCAGCATGAATGTGTTAATTTTCAAAATTCAGAGATGATATTATTAGAATGAAAATACAACAGCATTTGGAATCTTGAAAACTGTAAATGGAGGTTAACATTTTGATGTAGTCCCCAAAATTCAGAGAATATTCTGCAATTAACATGCTATGTAAAAAAACTGAGGATTAAAATTCTTTGTATGACAAGTATATTGTGGCATGTGGACCTGCTGCGGGGCAACAACCATGAGGTAAGCAAAATCACAAACAAACATGTTTGCACAGCAACAGTTGGAAACAGAAACAGAGGAGCAGTGTTTTCTTTGCAGCCCATGCCGAGATGTTATAAGGATGACAGTTGGAACAATGAGTTAGATGTGAAACGGTCACCAGCTGGTAAAAACATGAGCACTAAGCAGAGGACAATTCTGGTATCCGTCATCAGGCAACAACTGGTGAAGACATAGAAAACTGAGATTTTTTTTTTGCTGTAGTTACAGCGATCTTAGGGGGCATGCGGTAGCATAGTTAGTTGAGGCACTATGCTACAAGCTGGGGTTCAAGTCCCGATGAGGTCATTGGATTTTTTCAATTGACCTAATCCTTCCAGCTGCAGTATGGTCCTGGGGTCAACTCAACCTCTAACAGAAATGGGTACCAGGAATATTCTTGGAATATTTTGAGGGGTAAAGGGCAGCCAGCACATAGGGCTGACAACCTTGCCGCCATCTATGAGCCGACTGTCTAGAAAATGTGAGAACCTCAACATCTCATAACCCTATGGGCCCCCACGGCCTGTTACAGGGATACCTTTACTTTTCTTTTTTTACAGCAATCTTTAAAGTGTGTAACTCAGCGAGACTGATGTAGTTATTTGTACGAGTAGTTACATTCTGCAAGTGTCCAATAAATCAAATTAGCAACCCAAACACCGACTATAGTCACACTCATACACGTGACAATATCTACTGATCCAATTAACCCTTTGAAGACTTATTTTAATGGTCCCTGCTTTTCCGTACAGCTACAAGCAGATGGCAACAAGTTACTGCTGTTTCAGGATTATTTTTTTTAATATTCTTTGGTATCTTCATTGTTTGCATCCTGTTGTGTATTACTATACAGAATTATTATACAAATAGCACATACACAACTTACATTCGGACACCCACCATATAATATGTAAGTAATCATTTACACCACACCATACGACTATACATCACCCAAAATTGAACCATATTAGAGCATCTATAATCTACTTTCAGGGGCACATAATATTTAAAAATAAAACAAACTCAAAGAAGACCCCTCTAATCTATGACACAACATCACAGACCATCAAAAAGATTTTAATTCAATTTTAACTTCTGATTTATAATGTTTTACACTTTAAAACTAATATTCAAACGTAATGAAACAGAAGAATCATAATGAAATTTATATTTATGACCATTAATATGGATCCACATTAGAAATACAATTCAATACAAGTCGTACATTTCATGAATATTGCCTGATGATCAAGCTGGATCGAAACATATAGCACATGTATGTTATGAACAGATATTAATACAGTAATATTAGTTTATTTATTAAGAATTTGTTCTGTCACTGGTTTTATAATAATATTATATTCTTTGTTATATCTATGTTGATGAATTAAATGAATTCTCAATCAATCAAGTTTTTAGTCTAATACATTCTAGGATTTTAGAGCTTTTAACAATTACGTATTTAGTGAGTTGACTTGTTCAAGTGTTGCAGCTGTAACAGTATGTATTGTATTGTATTGTATTTTATTTTCATCCGTTTTGCTACATAGTAACATTTGGACACGTCATTCATAATATAAGTTAACAAAATAAATCTACATAGTTACAAGCATACTAGGAACTATATTGATTGATTTATCCAGGAGTACAACTTAACAAACAAACATGATGATGTCCAAATCATGACTCATCGCTCCTAATTTAACACTCCTGAGGATATTTATTTTAATTTGACACTAAATGACTCCTAGACTTCAAAGAACATGGGTATCAACTCATATATCAATTTATCTTACTTTCAAACATGACAATTTTCCATGATGTTTCCTGCCACGCATGTACACACACACACCCTCTTCTAGAATAATAGAGCTACCTAATGTGACCTTAATCTTTACTCCTAGTCTTTCCTTTTTAGTTATATATGTACACTGTAATTTCTTAATATGACTGTTATTCCTTGGGATTACTGGCTTTTGGACTTTGTCCATCATCCTCTATACCTGACATCATCCTCAGAACCCTTCAGGATCCACCTCTTATCAAGTAAGTAAGTAAAAAATAAATATGAATATGAATGAATATGAATATGAACATAAGAGCATAAGGCTGCCCTCTGTTAATAACAAGATGAAATACCAGTGCTCACAGCATGAACCTTAAAAAAGCCTCTCAGGCTTGTCATGACTGTTTGGTCAGAGGCCAGCCATGTCTCAGAGATTATTTGTGAACAATGGGTTAAAATATACAAATTACTAAAAAGTTAATTTAATTTATATTATTAAATGTTACTGCAGCCACATTTATTAATTAGTGAGAAGAGAATATTGAGTTTTTCCTTATTTGAGTGCTAATCAAAAGTGTTTACCATCATGATTCATATTTACTGAAATACTCACCAGATGAATTATCCCAGCAGCTGTGAGCCATACAGAGATGAAAATGGACACCAGCTGAGCAAGACGGATTGAGCTTGAAGTCTTGAGGATGTTGAGGTACTGCAGAATATCTGGCACTGTCATCAAACGTAATGCTCTCAGGAATCTTAAACCTGCCAACAATAAGTCATTCCACAGGTTTCAGAGCATTACATAGAACAGTCTTATCCAGCTACCTCCTTGCCACCAATCACAGTCAGTTCTATATACACAATCATGAATATACTGGCAAAATTCTAAGAACTTCATTTACTTAATAAAATTTGTATTACACTTCCTTTTTGTGTTTAAGAAAAAACATGCTCTAAAGTATAAAAGTAGGGCATCCATAGAGAATATAACAAGCCTGTTTAGTATAAAAAATATATAATGGTGTGTTTAAACATCATAAAAAATAAATAATCAACTTCTTCACAGACACATTTCTTTCTGAAGAGTTTACCTATGTAGGTCAGGTTCTGACAGAAAATTAAAAACCACATCATAAGCATCTACTTCCAGCCCATAATGGGATTTCTAATAGGTTACACCAAATAAAAATTGTTGCATTCAAATTAAAAAAAAAACTGATCTCTAGCCATTTGAAATACAATAAATACCAAAAAACAGAATTTTTAGCTGCTCATCACAATATCTTTCAAGGAAAACAGCACTATTTCTTCATTAAATAACTAAACAAAGATAAAATGCAATAAATGTAAGAATGTGCTCACCTATCCATGTTCTGTCCAAATATATTGAGACAAAGGAAGGAGGAATTGTGAAGTAATCTACAAATGAATACATCTCCAGCATGAACCACAGTTTATCACTTGCTGCTATAAACTGCAATGGAAGGAATGTGCATGGTTACAATATGACAGAGAACAAAGATATTGATTTTGGAGATAGTTAAGAACAAAAATAATAGAAAGTGATATGCAGAGGAAAGACAACAGAATGTTTCAGTGGAGCTGAATTACACAGCAGGATGGATAAAAATACAGCCTTAAATACCAAAAGTAAAATAAAGAAGGGGATCAAAAAACATATGAAAGTCATAAAACAGCAGAAAGAAAAAACTGAATTATTGGCAACCACTTAATACAACATGTCAAAATTCAAAATTATGTTGACATAAACATGCCTGTATACTGGCAAAAAGTTAATTAAGTTTCAGTGTACAATTGTCATTCATTTGTTCAAATATATACAGTATACACTAGGAGTCTATACTGCGTAACTCTCTTCTTGCAGGAAACAGGACGCCATGTGCTGGAGAAAACACAGCAGGGACTATGGGATATTTAGCCGAGGCGGTGGGAGTGGTGCTGGTAGAAACCAGTGTATCTGGGAGGTCTTGTGACCGGCCAATTCGATCAAGGTTTTCCGTGGTTTTCCTTGGTCCCACAGCAAATGCTGAGTTGGTATCCAAATTCCACGTTGCACTGCATGCTTCACATGCAGCCCCCCCCCCCCAATAGTAACATCATGAAACTTATTATACTATAACTACACAAGAATGACATGTCTTATATCATGTATAATGATCCATGGACACGAAATAAATGAAATGAAATGTTGTTGTATTTCAGCAATTATGTCATTCTCAAATTTTTAAAAGTGTGGCCGACAAAATGTATGCCTCCAAACTTCATGCTCTTATTTGGGAGGTCCAGAGTTTAGATACCAGCCCAGGAACCAGGTACCCTGAGGCATTTTGTGCTTTCCTTGGTCGTTTCAACCAGCACCAAGAAAATACTTCAAATTAGACAGTGACTGCTTCCTTATATATTAAAATACATACTTTCCAATTTATTGATCATCATCCTACCATTCAAAGCTGTATCATCTGCGCCACAGATGTCATTAAACAAACCAAGAATAAAAAATAAAACGAGATGTCTCATGATTGAAACTTACACATATGGGAATCAGAATTTAGTACAAAAATATTGCACCCAAGCATGGAAACACGGAATATATTTTCCAACAGAGCATGTTCAAATTTCATTCTTCATTACAACCTCAAGATGAATATACGTGATGAAATTTTCCTCTTATATGTCAGTTAATTTTCAAGGAATACACAGCGGTATAACCCAGAAGACAGAACTCTTCTTTGTGGTAAATAATTTCTGATATTGTATACCAAGACTGTAAATTTCTGAGTAAAAGGTAAGAGGTAAAGTTGTCCCTTTGCTTAACTAATTCAGCATTATGCCATGAATACTTATGGGGCAGTGGAGATACAGCTCCACCATTCTTGACCTAGGCAGTGGATGAGGGTGAGTGGTAGATTCACCTACAGGAAGGTTTAACCCCAATGAATGTGCCCCCAGTACCCATTGGACCTGACCCGGTGTGGATGCTGTGGAATAGAGAAAAATCCCTTTCCCCTTCCGGGAATCGATCTCCGGCCGTCCAGCCCCAAGTCCGTCACATAAATCTGAGTTCCAGTGATAAACCTAGTCTCTTCATGCAGAAAGATAAAGGAAAACATTTGCCATACGTGTCCTTGTCCGTCTTGTATAACCTACTGAGTATTCGTCGGTTATACAGTAACAATTTGGTTGTGGCACGCAGATTTGACCGTGTCGTAAAAAAAACAGGGTTTTCGGTGTTGTATGGCAATTAATAAAGTACGTCTTTGCCACAATTCTCTCTCACGAAGCTGACGTGGATATTTATTGGCCTGGAATGACATGATTTGCTGGTTTAAAACTTTATCCTACTGGAAATGAGCTTTGTCGAAACCCCGTATGTTGTGAAGCAGTTTTAATGTCTTATCCACGTGGCAAAATTCAGCCTGCGCAGTCACTTTCACAAAGTGTATGCATCACGGTAATCTTGTACAGAATTATGTACTGATCAGAACACGACATTTGTTGACATTTGCTGAACTGAACACCATGTCACCTTATACCAACGCAAGATTTGCTGTGCATTGCTCGAGCTGAACGCCCATGTTCTCCGCTTTACGGCACTGTAAAAGTGAGCCATTTTAGCTCGAACACCGAATCTCCGTTTTCAAACTACATGCCGTAGTATTTACCAGTACGTAGCAGGAGCCCACTGGGTACCGAAATAAATATGAAAACATCTTGCGTTAAAGTAACGATTTGTTTCCGAAAAAACAGTAACGTTCACGTCTCTCGTAACCCCACCCCCTTCTCCCCCGGGGAACTCGTCCAGGAAATTCAGTATTCTCCTCACCTGTAATAATTTCCATGAATGATTTTATTCGCCGGCAAACTTTCAAATATGTCATAGATAACACGATGTAATTTTAACAAACAACTGAGCAGTAAACATTCCGTGTGCCACTCTCTAGTCTGACTACCATATTCGTGACACCTTTCTTGGGGGAATTTGTTCCACAAAACTGAACATAGAGGATCAAATTTAGCGTTATGATTATGAATTGCAGTGTTTTGTTAAATTTCTGTATATGTAGTTCTATGTGACATCAGATACACACATGCATTGTACTGGAATCATATTTATATCCTTCGAAAATTGTCTACATAACATATGTATCCTCACACCACTGACTGCTTTTTGAGTGACCGCCACAGAAAGCCAAACCATATCTCAAATAAGCATGATAATATGCAAAATAAATACTCTTTATAACATGATGACTTTCCCAGGTACACACATTAGATCCACAACAGACACATTACTCACAGGCAGAGAGAGAACCATCCCTGTCATTTTTCCAGTAAGTGATGGCATAATCTTAGTTACAGCCTTAGCAGCTCCAGTTGCAGCTGCAATAATGTTCTGTGTTGCTACATGCCCACAGTGCCATAGTTTTCCAGATGGTTCATCTACAGTTTTCTGGATGGTTGTAATACCATGCACAGTTGTCTCGAGACTTTCCACCATCTCCATTGCTGCCAAGCCATTTTTTTATATAGCGTATATTTGTAACCATATTCACTGAGGTACCATAATCTCCCAGACTGACTCCAGCTACAAATATGGAGACATCTGCAGCTGGAGCACTCTGGATCAGTTTCTTTGCTCCACCTTTCAGCTAATCTGGACATTTGTCAATAATTGTGAATATGCCAGTACATTCCACTGTGTATTCAGCTGGGTGTTTCTTCCATGGATTCATTTGCTTGAACACAATGACAGTATGGCAATTTATGATCATGGAGTCCACTTCTATGTGAATTTCTCCCAGAAATTTGTCGTGTGTGGAACCGAACTTGAGTATGAACACCATGTAATCTGGGACAATGAATGGATCATTCATGCATGTGATCATAATTTCTTTATTGGCGGTAAGGGAAGCACTGAGTACTGAACAGCCAAAATGACCAAAATTATTTATGCCACCTGTAGCCATGCTGCATTAATGACTTGTACATAAATTTCTTGTGACAGGTGCTTCATACACCTGTTTTATTTGTTCTTAACTAACAGTGTTTCCTTTGTGTTTTACCTTCATTCTTCTGATCATGTTTACTTTATAACTGACCCTTGTACTGCAGAGTATTCATATAAATAAATAAATTGCTGAATTTAACTAAATTTACATATATATCCAGTAGTTAGCGGAGGAACATTTAGAATTGATGAAATGTTTAACTTTACTATTTTATTTGGTCATATGGGATAGTAAATGTATACAACTCTCAGATAATATATTCTTTTTGATACTTTATTTTTACAATCTGCATGTTCCTCATAATTGAAATGAGAAATTCCTACCTAATATGTTTAACTTTTTTCTCAGAAGCTGTCTTAATCTACTTAGTAAACTTAATAAGCAGAAAGAAAGTGCAAAAGTAAAATGGAAAAATCAGGAAAATAAGGGTACAAAATTTAGAACATACAAGCCCACAAAGAGCAAAGCAAACATCACTTTTATATTAACATTTTGCATTTATATTTAGAATGTCCACATAAACACTGAAGATATTTGTATGGTTGTTTCTGAAAAGGGTTACCAAAAACTAGATTAACTAAGACTAATAATTCTCTTCTCATTTTTAAGAAGCCCTAAATTCATAATATTAATTATTTAGATTATGTCTTTTGAGAAAAGTGTGATATAGAGATAGCCAAACTAACCGACAAAAAGACAGAGCACAGTAATATGAAAACAGTTCTTTCATAATCCTGGAGTAGGATAAATGTCTATGTTGAACAGATTTTTTATTTCAAGTATCTTTCTGTTTACAATATTTCCATATTTAATATATAACATATTTTTATTTTTGTAAGGTCTGACTAATTCTACAAAAAGAATGTGTGTATTTAAAAAACAATTTATGACATATTTTGGACAGAAACAAAACAATGCACCAATAATTCATTTATGGTTGCTGCCTACCACCTTACAATCTGAATCCTAATTACTCTATGATCTTGACACATGACAACTAATAAATTTTGCCAATTTCTACGCAGGAACATCAGTCCACTTTTTTGTCAGTCCTTGTATATAGTAGAGTTTTCTGACATTTCCTTAAATTTCAAATGAATTTTGATATATTATTTTCTAAATTTCAGTTTCTTTGTTTGAAATATATTTTTACTAATAATGAAAAGTATTGCAATTTTTAGTATTCACTTTAAGAATTATGAAATTAAAAGGTGTACTTCTGTCATCCTAAATAACACAAATTCTTTGTAAAGTAAGAAATTTGGGTTGTACTTACTCGTATAAAAAAGTACACCATAAAAAATATATTGAAGGCTAAATCTATCTGCTGGGTGATGTTGTTGCTCCACTTCTGGCACCGCTCCACCTCTTCACTGCAATGCAATAGAAACTAATGTTAGGGACCACCCATTTTCAGCACAGAAATGCAGGATATAGTGCAATTATATATGTTAAAATAAGTCCTGAAGCATGAACCATATCTCCTAAGTCAGAAACATCTACTCTACAAACACAGAAACAGTCTATAGATATATTATACCTTCTTAAAAAACAAAATGGAGGGCCATTTTGTCTCGCAGATTATTTTGATGTACTTTGTCATCTGTATAGCAGGATTCTTATAAATCACAAGCCTGGACACACATTGTACTATTAACCATGTCCTATTTTGTCATGCTATTGTGGGATTTGTCAACAAGAAGGAAGAATAATCTAGAAGACACCAATCAGGATAATGAGATTGCAGTTAGGGATTCAAATAGGATACCTGATAAGTAAGTAATGTTACATATCATTTGATATGATATTAGGTATCACACCAAGAGCCACTTGGCCATCCTCAAAGGAAAGAGCCTCATTATGAGAACCAGTGCTCCTTATGCATTAAAGTGCATAAATTCAACACATTCAGAGGAGGTCATGCTCAACCATTTGCATGTTTCCGTTCAAAATCTACTAGGTGAATATTTATGAAATTTGGCACTGTGGGATCTGCCGTAAAAGTTGTGTGACTTAAGTTTAATTTGTATGAGTCGAAACACACAATCTTTCATGAAGGTCAAATTAAACTTTGTCAATCTTCTCAAGAAATATCTTATCATACAAAATTTGGTATATGTCTTAAAATATAAATCCTATTAACATATCATAAAACACATTTCAAGTACACCTTTCAACTCTTTTTTCCATGCTTGGCCCTAATGAAGCAGGTTATCACTGGAAAATGCTTGCAAGATTTGGATTGGGATGAACTGTTAGGCAAGATGCAAACCTGTGACAAAATGAACCTATGCCAGCTTCATGGTTTAAGGAATTTCTGCATGTAAATAGAATTATTCTCCTCCTCTATATTCCCTGTCACCAACATATTACATTACAAACGCTTGAAGATCTTGAGTTGATATTTAGTATTACAGAATTGTTTTCTGACAAAAGCAACCAATACAGAAAGAAAACTGAGCAAGAATTGGTTGGTTAACAGAGTAAAATTATAAAGACATGTGCACTTATGATTATACACTAGACAGTTCACTTAATATGATGCATATCTGCTAGCTGCAACACATTTTCTTCATATTGACATACAAGTCAGTGAAAGCAGGTCAAAATTTTGGTTAGGATCTCAGCTTATTGGGTCTCAGACAAAACAACTATCAAATCAAGTTCATTTTGTTGTGTTCATGAAACAGTTTATCATACAAGTATCTGATGTTGAAGAAGAAACTCTTGAGCTGAGTGGTTAGAGCTACTATTTTATACTTTGGAAGGCCTGGATTCAAATCTCGGCCCAGAGACCAGCTATGATGACAAGTTCCCAGTCCATTCAGGCAAATGCCAAGTTCGTACTGCAATTCAGGCCACATATACTTCCTTCCACATTCTTTTCAGTTCATTATTCACAAATCATCCTACCAACTGATGTTATAGTCTGTTCTACTTACAGCATCATTAAAAGAATCATAAACAAATAAAAAATAAACAGAGAGAGACACAAATCATGAATTTAGAAGTTTTCTGTTAATTTCTTTTTCAGTAAATTTGATTTGTTTCATTCTGGTCCATCACACTAACAATTATAAATACAAACCGCTCCGTCCAATGTGACATACAGGTTTTTACTACGTTAAAACTTATCTCCTTTACACGTATTTTAAATCAAAACGCCTATTGTGATGGTACTTTCCAGTTTGTAATGATGTTCCCTCTGAAGATGGCCCATAAGGACCGAAACATGTAAGGGAGATAAGTTTTAACATAGTAAAAACTTACATGTCACATTGGACGGAGTGGTTTGTATTTATTCTTTTTCAGTTTTTGCAGTGCCCAGTTTTCACTAAACACAACAGGCTTGACCTAGCTGGAGACATCAGACCAGACTAAATATCAGAATTATAATCTTACTGAACCATGAAAGTATCATAAGTAATTATATCACTCCTTATATGTAATGTACTCTCTGCTTCACAAGTTTTCACTCTTGGCCTCTCTTCTCTGTTACACTTCATACATTATAGTATCTGCTTTACTAACTGATACCTTTCTATTCTATTAATTATTATTCCTTTTTTTTAAGTGATAAAATACTTCAGAAAGATTAAATGCTGCACCAGACTAGATCACATTGAAACTGAAGATATTAGGAGAGAATTTAAGATATAATAAGTTCAAAATGAGATGATGAAAACAGACAATATTAGAAAAACCACGTGGATACAATGACTATTAAAGGATTTTGAAACAAATTCTACAGTGAAAACTAAAAGGACGCTAAGACTCAGAAAGACCTTTGAAAAGATAAGTATGTGAAGTCAAAAACAGGCCTGACTGCCTATACCACGAATTAAAGAGTAAAAAATTGTTTGTTGTGTTACTGTTGTTTCCTATTGACCTGATCCTCCATGCCCTCTTTGTCTCATCCTGCACTGCTACAAATGATACAGAGTAGCACAATTTCTCACATGGGCCTGCATATGCCAGTGGTTTTGAAACCTTCTTTTGCTTCTGTGAATGTACAGTGTACAGTTTGGAGATCTTTTTTAACTACCCTGAAAAAGTAAGCTTATCCCTGTGCCTAAGCACCACAAAGTAAAGGGATAAGGGACTGAAAATAATAAAACAAACTACTTCTTTTACATCAAACTAATTAATTCCATTATGCATTCTTATTCCTTCAGTTTGCTGTATACCAAATTTTTCTCAACTTTTTCTCTTTCTTTCATACTGACAGTTATATTTACTTTTGGTTTAAATAAATTTCAATAAAATATGGTAAAGAGGACAAGTTACAGAAGCATAAATCCAACACTCAAAGTATCATTTGTGCATAAGCACATCTACGATTTGGATTCTGGCTGCAGCACATGCAACTGTTGTCTGTAGTTACATCAATAACTAGAATCTGTCAAGGGACTAATCTCCTTTCCACCACTGTGTTGGCAGTATGAACAGCAAACTGCTGACAGGCTACCACAAGCAAACAATGCTCTCTGTTCCCAGTGCCTTCAACAAACATCATAAAAGTACAACACAGAGTTTTATGCCTTCCAGACAAAGTATCATCAAACTCTACCTCTTGATGAAAGTGTACATTATGACTGTTAGCAGAAAATGTTTATTTCTTCACGATGCAGAAGTCCAGGACAAAGCATGCACTATATAAGGAAGGTCCAAAATCTAAATTTTCAAAACTTGGTTCCTTATTTTGCAAAAATCACAGATGTTAAATAACTAGACATAGTCAAATTTGGGTAGGCCGCAGTTGGTATGGACATTGTGGAGACTGGGAGGGCCACATAGCCAGACTGTGTATTGTACACAAGAAAAAAATTTCTTGAACCTGCCAAGAATTGAACCCTGATATTTCAGTTGAAGCACCTAGTTACTATATGGACTGAGTTATTCCAGTTGCCATTATCTACACTGTGCTAAGTCTGTAATTGGCCTTGAGGCTGTTGACTTGGCACATAAATAATAAAGAATTGAATTGAATTGAATTTAATTTAATTTAATTTAATTATAGATTTTAATGAAATATGTGTTTTCTACCATGCACATATGAATGAAGCTATTTCATGCCAGAATTTAATAAGCTTATCATGTAAAAATGTATGAAACAGTCAATATTCTCAGGAACTACCCTGGACATTAATATATCTAATTTTGTTGAAGATATGTTAATAAATTTTTAGGAAACCTGATAATGTCAATTTGACAAAAGAGATTTCTCCTAGACTCTGCACTAGTCTCCTTCACTTTAAAACATCTTAAGTTGCAGTTTGGATCACCCAGTGACTGCTTCTGTAATCAGATTAAACTTTCCTTCCAACAGAAATCTTCTGTAAGCGTTCTGTAAATAAATTGGATAGAGTCCTACTGAGAGAGATATAAATTCCACTTCAGGCACTAGCACACTGGGGGAAACAGTGCTTCAAGGGTAATCTTTTACATGTGCTCTATTTAAATTATAAAGTACCTTTAAATCTAAGGTCCAAATTAGGTACAACTTGGCACACACATTTTATGTTTTTACTACCTCAAATTTAGGTGTCTTGACTTCAGTATCAATTGTCTCGATAATATAAATGTATGTAAGGGTGCCTGTATATTTATCTCTTGGTTTATTAAATCAATTCTGTACTGGATTTACTTAGGTAGAATAATTTTTTTCAATATTTCTCAAATTAGTCATAGTTTTCATTATTTATAATCTATAAACATTACTTCAGAGAGTATATATACATGACAGGGTTAAACAAGAAACAAGTATGAATCAGAAAAAAGAGGCTCTTTATCTAAATAAGATCTCTTTAAGGTATTTTGACGGAGGTTATATAATCTTATGCTATGAATATTATGAACCATGATGCAGGAAGAAGAGGAAGGAGATTTCAAGGCCTCATAAATCCAAAGTAAAAGTGTCAGTTACACTTTAATATTCAGTGTGTCCATGGGTTGGGATTTCGTTTACTCCCGAAAAAGAGGGTGACAAATGCATACAATATTTTGGTCAGAGAACCTTTAAGGCACAGACACAGAGGTAAGGTTAATATTAAAATAAATCTAAAAAAATGGGGTAAATCTATAAGAACATATGGGTACAATTAAATAGGCTCCGGATAGGGTTCACTGATGGGCTCTTTTCACCAACCTCATATTCCATCAAAGATAGAGTTGAGCAACTATCACCTTCTCAAGATTAATTTCCAGATACCCAAAATATGGAAGTAAAACTTGCATTACATAACATTTTTTTTTACATTACATTACATTACATTGCATTGCATTCCATGGATCCAAAGTTAGTCAAAATGATTGTAGGATGTAATCTATGTCATATAAATACAAAACATATGTACAGACCCAATGGAGTTCT